ATATGTTAACTCAGTAGAAAAAATTGCTACACCTCTCCAGGCATATCATCTACTTCTCAACCTTCAATTTCAGTTACCAGTCCTGGACTCAGAAAGTTTCTTTTATTGTTTTTGTTACTATAATATCTCAGATTTTGTTGTCAATGTAGATTTTGTGAATACAAGCAAGGTGGAAAAGTATATAGCAAAAGGGATAGGATTTCATACGACCAAATAAGCAAATCATACAAAAGTAAGATTGCCAGATGTTTAAATAGTCTAATAAAAAAATGACTACATTATCATAACCAAACATGTAAAATTATAATTCTACCATTTTAGCAATGTAAAATACCATAGGTACAAATAATAAAACTAATTATGTTAAAATCTTCCTCAAGCTCACAGTGCGACAAGAGAAGCAAAGAACGTTTGTTTAAAAAAAAAAGCTAAGTAGGGTGCTATTTCATGAAAAGGTTAGCAAGTTGAATCGAAATGGGAAGAGTAAATCCTATATTTGCAAGTAACCAACACAAAAATACAATTTTAGTGGTACTAGACATTGTAGCATGATACTTAGATTAGGTAGAAAGATCGAGAAATGATTGTTTGCTTCTTATTCTTTCAAGAGATAAGAATCACCAAAAAATATACAAAAACTAACGGTGGATTTATGATCAACATTATAATATGCACGTATCTTCAAAGGGTAGGTCGACAAAAATAAGACACTTTGAAAGCAAGTGCTACAATAATAGTACAAAATATGAACAACAGTAGTCAAATAAACTGTAATAGAATATGCAACAAACTGACTGATAATATGAACAAAATATGCAATATCTGAATGAGCAATAATCAAATATACTAAACAACCAACAACAGTACAATATAAAGTAGGATCTATCAAAAGTACACCATCAGAGATGAATACAGAATATTGGTCTAAAGAGGAGTATCAATAGTTCTAATATCAATAGAACTAGCAGGCTCAAGGTTTCTAATATATGCTTTAGATTGAAATAGAAGTAAGCTTGAATAGAATAAGTATCCTTTGTGCCCAAGAATTAATATAGAGGGCCTAGGTCCTTCACTTCAAATTGACAAGTTAATTATGATTACATGACAACAATCTCATCAACAGTAATAATAATGCCACCAACATACAATGAAAGGATAATGTAACCTGTTGAGGTATACCAGACAAATAGAACAGAATCATGATGATTGGGGGAAAAAACAAGAGAAGCAATAGCATTAGAAAACTTCTTAAACTAGACGAGAGGTACATGTTTGATATCATAAAGTATCTTCTAAAATTTGTAAACGTCTCCATAATTGTGAAAAACACAAGGAGAGGTACCATATAAATGTCTTCTTGAATATTCCCACTCAAAAAGGCATTTTTAACATTCATTTGAAAGATACTATACCAAAGAACACACGAGTCAACAATAAGTATACTAACATTAGTCATCTTTGCAACGGATGAAAAGGTCTTCTCATAATCCATACCATACTACTGATTGAATCCATGAGCAACTACATGGTTATAGGACATTTACCAGGTGGTAATGGAATCAAAATATTACTTTTATGAAATGCACAGAGTTCCTCTGCCATATCTTGCTACAAAAGAAGATCAAGAACGACCTTTTCAAAGGAAGAAGGCTCAAATTGTTAGCAAATAGAGGTAACAAACAACGAAAAGAATCTGAACAGCAAGAGTAACTATAATCTGATAACTTAGTGAACTTTCGATAATGCTGAGGACATAAAGGAGGAGTATGAGGATCTGCAATCATATGAGGTGCATGGGAGACCATAGATGGAGGGGGAATATCTAAGATATTGTAGGTCAGTTCGTTTCTGAGCGTGGGATATCTATAATACATGGTAAATGAGAGGGTGGACTATCTGTGTCTTTAGAGAATGAGTTAATAAAACGAGTTTAGAGTTATTTATGTTATAAGAATTATCAAAATAGAATTGAATGAAATATGTTCAAGAAACACAACATAACAAGAGACGTATAATTTTTCATTGACATGATCGAAGTAACAATAATCTTTTTTTTTTCACGCTAAAACCTTAAAAATACAAAAATGACGTAGTGTAAAATTAACTTGCTACACTAGTGCATTTGGATGATGAGCAAAACAAATGCAGCTAGAAACTCTAAAGAAATAATAATCATGATTGTGTCTATACAATGTTTCGAAGGGTGGCAAACAAAAGTGGGAAACGATGGAATTTTATTGATTAGATGAAAAATATATGCATATGTTTCCTTTCAACAACACTCTTCTATTGTTGGGTATCAATACAAGAGGTTTGATGTATGGTTCCCTAACGACGAGTAATTTAGAGAATTCAAGAAAAATATACTCCCACATAAATCACATCTAAAATACTTAATTACAACAAAGTATTAAATTTTACCAAGTAGTCTAAAAGATTTATCTAGACCGTCCATTTCTAGTAATATGAGCAGGTCCCCACACATTAAAATGAAATGGATGAAATGGTGTAATAGAAGAAGAAATACTTTGATTAAAAGGTAAAGTAGAGTATTTTCTAGTTTCCAACTACTAAAATAAAATATCTTGAGTCTGTACAATTTCAAAGCACCTTTAGAAATTATATATCTCAAATCACTAATGAAAACATGACCAATATAAGGTCATCACAAATAAAAACTAGGGAAAGGGGGAATCAAACAAAAAGTTGACAGATCAACATCGGTTGCTGCAACATTTGATTCTCTTGGATTGTCCAAAACATATAATACTTCTGGCCTACACCCTATCCCAATGAGCTTCTGAGATTCAGGATTCTGTACATGACAAACAGGTTTAAGAAAACTTAACCAAGTATATAGAGTCACATAAATGATCAATAAAGACAAGATCCATAGTTAGAGCGGGGATGCAGTAAATATTGAAATGTAAACTATTTGCACTACCAAAACCAACACACGCCATGGACATCCAAGTGCCATCAGCAATCACAATTGATACAAATGATTTAGAGGGACACAAAGAAGTAAAGAATGTTAAGTCACGTGACATGTGAGAAGTACACGAATCTAAAACTCGTATAGAAAAAGAAATACCTAAAGGATTCTGGGACTACCTACATATACTGAAGATGATGACATAGCATGAGGTTGTGTGGTAGTGACTTTTGAAACTGCTCAATGAGGTTCGATAAAGTGGTACAAGAAATAGATATGGATAGATAATTTTCGTGCTATGAGACTTCAAATGTTTTTTCTCTGCCTAAAGTACGCTAACAACAAAATTGGCAAAAGGAAATGGATTACAATATAAGGTTGAAAAATAGAGACCCTCAAAATAATCACAAAGGACCATTGAAAATTGAACCAGAGGGTGTTGCTTTCTATGCTTAATATATAATTTATAAGCTCAAAATTCATCATCCTCTGTAAGAGCTAAAAGTTAGTCATTACTTAATGAAATTCTTGATCACTCAAAATTTTTTGCTCTAGTGCCGAATACTAGCTTCCAATTGGTATTCCATTGCAAAATTAGATTGTTTAAACAACCATTTAAATAATCCTAAATTTCCTTAGTTGCTTCATATTTTTCTTCATATTTTTCCAATTGTACCCAAATAGAGTGTTCAATAGAATTGAGTATCCAACTTTGTAAATTTTTGCATGTTTGTTCATGTCACAAGCACGAAGAACTTCTACAAACTTATCATAATCAAGTTTATCGAGCTCAAGTTTGGTCTAAATACCAATTACATAATCCCAAATTAATTTACCCTTCAAAATGTTCTTCATGACGACACTCCAATGTGGATAATTTTTGTCATCTAATCTCACATTAATGGAGCCAGGTGAATTATGATTTGTCCCCGCCATTATAAAAATTCAATCAACAACCAAGAACCAACACAATAATATCTCAAGCAAATAGTAAAAGCCCAAAAAATATCAAAATAAAAAATAAACGAAGTAACAAGTAGAACACCAGACATTAATACATGATAGTCCGATGCCATCTACCTGAGTTGACGCTTTGATGATACCATATGGATATTGTTGATGTAAGCAAGGTGGAAGATGAGAGCAAAGAGAACTAAGCAAAGAGAACTAGGGTATCATACAACCAAATAAGCAAATTGTACAAAAGGAAGAATACCTCCTCATTGCACTCTAACATAGTTTTTGTTTACATAGTCTAACAAACAAAATGTATAAACTATACTAACCAAACAAGTAAAACTACAATTATACTTTTAGCAATATAAAATAACATAATTTGTTGAATGGACCATAATGCCCATGAACCACACAAATTTATTTATTTATTTTTGTTACGTAATTATATTCAAAGAAGAGGGACCCATAATGATGTGATAAATTTTTTTTTTCCTAATATTTATTTTGATTCTCTGTATGGACCCATGTGAGTTGTCTCCATACCCTTGAGAGCCATAAGGGTTGGATTTTCTGCCACTTGGAAGAGATTTGTTATTATTTATTGTCAATTTTTTATTTTATAATTTATGTTATTCTTTTATTTGAAATATTTTGTCAACTAGATAAATTGTAGATAATCGGTGTTATATTTGTTGGAATTTGTGGAGCCTAGTTGTACTCATTCGATGGATTGAGTGGTGCAGATGCAACAATATGTGCAATTGACTTTTTAAAAGATGTGGAGGATGCCATTTCTTCGAATGCATGAATTTCTAATTAATTGTTGAATCTATTCTTTCAAATTATTGGTGTACGTTTCATTGACATTCAATCATCAAAGATCAAATTATTTATGTATTTTTGATTTGGAAGAATTTTAAAAAAAATAAAAAATATTCGGTTCTGTGCACTTAAATTCACTTCTATTATTATCGCATAACTTATTTGTTTCTCAAGGTTGTTCTTGGACTTATCAGAAGATTGAATGATATATACATCTGATGCTCATCTGATATGTATCTTGATATCTTGTAGGTAGTAAAGAAGAAACCTTCTTCGAATTCCAACCATGGTTCGAGTCGGATTCTGAGGATTTTTATAGTGTCAATGGAGGTATGAACTCTATCATCATTTTACCTATAAGTTTCCTCCATCATCCCCCGAACATGCACGGAAATCAAAATCATTCTAGTCGATGCAATCATAAAAATGTAGCATTTTCCATGTGGTCAATATTGACCGCATGTTTGATAATGTGGATTAGTTAGTATTTGACTGTATTAAAGAAGAAGAAAAATTAAAATCTCGTCTATTGTATTGTTGTACCAAACATGCCATGATTTTGTTGTCACCATACTTGTTATCAAATCAGTTTTTTCAGATTCTGGTAATTGCCTATTAGTTTCTCCTCCTCATTGCACTCTAACATAGTTTTGGTTTAAGTAGTCTAACAAACAAAATGTCTAAACTATACTAACCAAACAAGTAAAACTAAAATTATACTTTTAGCAATATATTTTAGCAATATAAAATATCATAAGTTTTTGAATGGACCGTAATGCGCATGAAGAAGAGGGACCCATAATAATGGGATGATTTTTATTTTTATTTTTATTTTTATTCTCTATATGGACCCCATGTGAGTTGTCTCCATACCCTTGAGAGCCTTAAGGGTTGGGTTTTCTGCTACTCGAAAGAAATTTATTTTTTCTTTTTTTGTTAATTTTTTATTTTATAATTTATGTTATTCTTTTATTTAAAATATTTTTGTAAACTAGAAAAATTATAGATAATTGGTGTTATATTTGTTGAAATTTGTGGAGCCTAGTTGTACCCATTTGATGGATTGAGTGGTGCAGATGCAACAATATGTACAATTGACTTTTTAAAAGATTTGGAGTATCCATTTCTTCAAATGCAGGAATTTCCAATTAATTAATGAATCTATTCTTTCAAATTATTGGTGTACGTTTCATTGACATTCAATCATCAAAGATCAAATTATTTATGTAATTTTGATTTGGAATAATTTTAATCTAAAAAATTAAAAATATCTTCGGTTCGGTGCTCTTAAATTTACTAGTATTATAATCGTATAACTTATTTGTTTCTTAAGGTTGTTCTTGGACTTATTGGAAGATTGAATGATTGATATATACATCTGATGCTCATCTGATATGTGTCTTGATATCTTGCAGATAGTAAAGAAGAAACTTTCTTTGATTCCCAACCATGGTTCGAGTCGTATATTGAAGATTTTTATAGTGTCAATGGAGGTACGAACTCTATCACCATTTTACCTATAAGTTTCCTCCATCCTCCCCCAAACATGCACGGAAATCAAAATTATTCTAGTCGATGCAATCATAAAAATGTAGCCTTTTTCAGGTGGTCAGTGTTGATCGCATGTTTGGTAACGTGGATTAGATAGTATTTGACTATATTAAAGAAGAAAAAATTAAAATCCCCTCTATTGTATTGTTGTACCAAACATGCCATGATTGTGTTGCCATAATTGTTATCAGATATTTTTCAGATTCTGGTAATTGCCTATTAGTTTCTCCTCCTCATTGCACACTCACTGACATAGTTTTGGTTTACGTAGTCTAACAAACGAAATGTCTAAACTATCCTAACCAAACAAGTAAAAGTACAATTATACTTTTAGCAATATAAAATAAGTTTTTGAGTGGACCGTAATGCCCATGAACCACACAATTATTTATTTATTTATTATTATTATTTTTTGGTTGAGTAATTCTATTTAGCATTGAGTAATTATATTCAAAGAAGAGGGACCCATAATGATGCGATGATTTTTTATTTTATTTTTTTTGGTATGGACCCATTTGAGTTGTCTCCATACCCTCGAGAAACTTAGAAGAAATTTATTATTTTTTAATTTTGTTAATTTTTTATTTTATACTTTACGGTAGTCTTTTATTTGAAATATTTTTGTAAACTAGATAAATTATAGATAATCGGTGTTATATTTGTTGGAATTTGCGGAGCCTATTTGTACTCATTTGATGGATTGAGTGGTGTAGCTGCAACAAAAGCAATTGACTTTTAAAAGATGTAGAGGATGCCATTTCTTCAAATGCGGAATTTCTAATTAATTGATGAATCTTTTCTTTCCAATTATTTGTGTACATTTCATCGACATTCAATCATGAAAGATCAACTTATTTATGTATTTTTGATTTGGAAGAATTTTAATCTAAAAAAATAAAAATATCTTCGGTTCGGTGCATTTAAATTCACTAGTATTATAATCGCATAACTTATTTCTTTCTCAAGGCTGTTCTTGCACTTATCGGAAATTGAATGATTGATGTATACATCTGATGCTCATGAGATATGTATCTTGATATCTTGGAGGTATTAAAGAAGAAACCTTCTTCGATTCCCAACCATGGTTCGAGTCGTATGGTGAAGATTTTTATAGTTTCAATGGAGGTACGGACTCTTATCATCATTTTACCTATAAGTTTCCTCCATCTTCCCCCGAACATGCACAAAAATCAAAATCATTCTAGTCGATGCAATCATAAAAATGTAGCCTTTTCCATGTGGTCAATATTGATCGCATGTTTTGTAATGTGGATTAAATAGTATTTGACTGTATGAAAGAAGAAAAAAAATTAAAATCCCGTCTATTGTATTGTTGTACCAAACATGCGATGATTGTGTTGTCACCATACTTGTTATCAGATCAGTTTTTTTCAGATTCTGGTAATTGCCTATTAGTTTCTCCTTCTCATTGCACTCTAACATAGTTTTGGTTTACATAGTCTAACAAACAAAATGTCTAAACTATCCTAACCAAACAAGAAAAACTACAATTAGACGTTTAGAAATATAAAATAATATAAGTTTTTGAGTGGACCATAATGCCCATGAACCGCACAAGTTTTTTTGTTGCGTAATTCTGCTTAGCATTGAGTAATTATAGTCAAAGAAGAGGGACCCATAATGATGTGATGATTTTATTTTATTTATTTTTAAAATTTTTTATTTTGATTCTCTGTATGGACCTATGTGAGTTGTCTCCATACCCTTGAGAGCACCCTTGAGAGCCTTAAGGGTTGGATTTTCTGCTACTTGGAAGACATTTATTATTTTTGTTTGTTAGTTTTTTATTTTATAATTTATGTTACTCTTTTATTTGAAATATGTTTGTAAACTAGATAAATTATAGATAAAAATGTTATATTTACTGGAATTTGTGGAGCCTAGTTGTACTCATTCGATGGATGGAGTGGTGCAGATTTAACAATATGTGCATTTGACTTTTAAAAGATGTGGAGGATGCCATTTCTTCAAATGCAGGAATTTCTAATTAATTGATGCATCTATTCTTTCAAATGATTGGCGTACGTTTAATTGACATTCAATCATCAAAGATCAAATTATTTATGTATTTTTGATTTGGAAGAATCTTTATCTAAAAAAATAAAAATATCTTCCGTTCGGTGCACTTAAATTCACTAGTATTATAATCGCATAACTTATTTGTTTCTCAAGGTTGTTCTTGGACTTATCGGAAGATTGAATGATTGATAAATACATCTGATGCTCGTGTGATATGTATCTTGATATCTTGCAGGTAGTAAAGTAGAAACCTTCTTCGATTCCCAACCATGGTTCGAGTCGTATATTGAAAATTTTTATAGTGTCAATGGAGGTACAAACTCTATCATTATTTTACCTCTTCCTCCATCATCCCCCAAACATGCATGGAAATCAAAATCATTCTAGTCAATGCAATCATAAAAATGTAGCCTTTTCCACGTGGTCAATATTGATTGCATATTTGGTAACGTGGATTAGATAGTATTTGACTATATTAAAGAAGGAAAAAAATTAAAATCCCATCTATTGTATTGTTGTACCAAAAGCCATGATTGTGTTGTCACCATACTTGTTATCAGATCAGTTTTTTCAGATTCTGGTAATTGTCTATTAGTTTCTCCTCCTCATTGCACTTTGACATAGTTTTGGTTTACATAGTCTAACAAACAAAATGTCTAAACTATCCTAACCAAACAAGTAAAACTACAATTATACTTTTAGCAATATAAAATAACATAAGTGCGAATAATATAACTAATTATGCTAAAAATCAACCCCAATACTATAGATCGAAGATTTGTTTTCCAGCTTACAAAGTTCCCTTGATTTAAAATATTTCATGTCAATGATCATCTTTTGTCTAAATGCCCTATGAAATCTGAATCTACTGAATTTGCTATGTCTTCATCATTGCCCTATACACTATACCAACTTTATTTGTATCCTTCAAGACCTGTTTACATGCCTTCCAATGGCTTTTTCCATGATTAGCCATAAATCAAAGTTTTTTAATTTGTTGTCTAGCATTGAGAAAACCATGGAGTGCATCAAACTTCATGTGCTAATAATGTAAGGAACATGACTTATATAATAATCCAACTCTTAAGCACAGGAGACTGAGTTGATGAGAATTTAACATGTGCCGTTGTAGGTAATTTTACATTAGGTAACATGTATGTAACTCCTCAAAATAGTTCTATTCATTCTCTTAGTCATATGATTTTGTTGAGGAGCTTTTCTAATCATCTTTTCCCTTGCTAGCCCTTTTTCCTTGCAAAATTGTTCGAACTAGGTATTGGCCGTTTGATTTTTTGCAAGTATATGGTATTGTGAATAAGTAATGAAGTGAAGGGTAAGTATCATCCCACAAGGACTATATACTTAACCTAGTATCAACGAATTTTGACTGTAATCGAATAGCCTTATTAGTTTGACTGACTTAAACTAACAAATTCTAGTGAGCAAATTATGAAGATATTTTTCATATTTCTAAGATTAAAAAAAGGATTTGCAAATAAAAGTGCTAATGCTCAACACGATGTGTGTATCTGGGGAATTGTCGCTTGAAAGCGAATTCTCCTAAATTTAGATTGGATAATTACTAAGACCTTGAATCCCCCTTATTAGTTCATTTAAATTCAATTTAATAACATGACAACATGTGCTCATTCTTGTAGATAAATATTTCTTAGTTAAAAATATCTCTCAATATCAATTAAATTTATCATCTCTAATTTTCCTATATCTCTATAAAAGATACAAGCATGAAAGAATCCATTAAAAACACTAGAATATCTATAGAAATCATGAAAAAATAAATGTATATATCTATCGTCTTAGAATTTACAATCGTTATTAACGTGCTATCTATCGTATTGTTTCTCTCGAAATCAATAAAATTCACAATCAATCTAATTGTGATCAAGTAATTGAAAAGGCATTAAATCCTACAACAATCATATAATTAATACATATTGAATGTCAAATTATAAAAATTATATTAAAACATCGTAGTAAGGGTTCATCCATGTCTTAGCAATTGAAATCCTAGCATAACAGTACAAATTTACAAGAAATTATGTTTAATTGGAAGAATAAAATCCCCGGATTTAGAATTGATGAAGGAGAAGATGAAAATAATCTTGATGTTCTTGAATTTCTCCAATTGTATCTTGATGAATCTCCAATTATTCCTCTTGTTGTTTCCCCAAAAATTGAAGGTTTTGATCTCTAGTTTCTTGAAAAGCTGCAATTGCCCTTTAATTCTCAAAGGAACAATGGAATTGGCCTTTATTCAATGATGATAATAGATGCTTAATGGTGTAGAAGAGGTTCCTTTTGATGTATTCTGTTGTTCCATATTTATAGAATTCTAAAATAGGGTTGAAATTGTAATCAAAATTGAATGGAATAAGAACTCATAACGCAGGCAGGTAATTTGCATGTTGGGTCCTCCGTCACTCAATTTTCAAATGGCATGCTCGTGCATAGACTTTTTTTTTTTATGATGGGGAACTCGCAGCCGCTACCCTTCGGGTGTGCACCGGATAAACCCTCAGACTTGCACAATAGCATGCAACCCATGCCAGCCAGGTAAATCGCACTAGTGAAGTCCTGTGCGACAGGTTCGGCCGAGAAAGTATTGGTTGGAAGAATCGAACTCGTGATCAAAGGTCTCCGTGCTCACCTACTCCACCAACTCGGCTACCCCATGAGGGGCCATGCATGTGCATAGACTTGGCTTGCTCTCAGGAGGTTTTCAATTGGCTAGTGTGGGCACGCTAGCCAAGTTCCCACATGCGTGAGTGATATTTTTTCACCAATGTGCAATTCGGTCCATGATTTTTATCCTCTGTTCGGATTGAGTCCATTCTTCTTGCATTCGGATGCTTTTACTTCTAATTACGTTCAACTAGATCCAAGCATTCTCCAATTGCAATCTTAAATCCTAATCAACTATTGAAAGTGTGCAATTTAGTCCCTATATTTTGGATTTTGTCATTTTTCACCATTTTTTGGTTCTTTCTTTCAATTTTGCTTCCAATCTGTGAGTTTTGCTTAATCAACAAAATATAAAATAAATTAAGTCATAATTAATCAAAAAGAACTATTAAATATCTATATTTTTAGGCCCAAATAAGTATATAAAATACCCTTATCGGATATGGTAGCCCATTGTTAGTTTTTAAACTCTTAATTTCATGCCAGTTTAATTCTTAATCAAAGTTTTCCACTCTTAGAAGTCTTGAAAGCCAAATTCTTGCGTTTTAATAAATAAATCCATATTTTCCCAGATAATTTTGCTGGCCCTCAGTGCATACATAGTCAAGTGTCCATCTTGCAGAATGAGCAACATAAACTTTCACCTGTTGTGCACATCAAATAGTGTTCACACAAACTCAATTTCCCAATGTAACTTTTCCCGAAAACTTCCTAAGAATCCAGGACCCTTATTTTGGTGTTTTGTATGTTTGATAATATAATTTAATAATTTTCCTTGACCTTTTGCGGCCTCCAGAACAGTTTTTGGCGAGCAATTATTTATTGACGCAATACGCTAATTAATAATTAGTCTGATTTCTTGTATTCAAAATTTGAGAAATAAAATATATATTGACAATTTTTCTAATACTACCATTTAGAGAATTTTTTGAAGTAAAGTGGAAAAAGAATTAAATCAAATAAAGATACAACAAAACAGTCCATATGACAGCAAATAAGCAACGGCGATGCTCAATCATGGACTGGTGTCAATATATGTAATGTTGATATTGGTAGCATAACAAGCGTATTATTATTAAGATCTCTCAACTTTATCATTTTTATCCTCTTCATATAGTCAATTGCTTCTCTTGAAGATAGAATTTTGTTTATTGCTGATCTTTATCGTATATTAAGAGCTGATGCAGGCAATATAATGGAAATGAGCTGTAATGGTCTCATTATTGTATAATTAACCGAATTATATTTAGGATCTGCTTAACAAATTTTTTTATAGCATATGCAGAAGTTGATCCGTTGAAGAATAATATAAAGCGCCAAGTATTGAAATGTTGCATGGGCTTGCCATCAGCTATAGTTGCAGTCGGAGAAGTCTTAGCTAAAAAGCGTACATCTCATGAATGGGAGATGGTGCTTCGAGATATCAAGTTATTAATCGATAGAGGGCTACCAGTTGAACAAATCGTATCGCAAAAATCGATCTCAGATTTAATTTTTGATGATTTACCATATCACTTGAAACCATGTTTTCTTTATTTGGGTTTGTTTCCAAAGGGTTTGAAGATAGAAGTGGAGCACTTGTATCTTCAGTGGATGGCTGAAGGCATGATATCACGAGATGATTGTCAAGAAAATGAAACGACGATGGATTTAGCAAAAAGATATTTGAGCGATCTGGTACAGAGAAAAATTGTTGAGGTTGAAGAAGACGAAGAAACTCCTCCTTTGAGAAAATACAAGTCTTGTCAGGTTCATGAGCACGTGAAAGATCATTGATTACAGAAGGGAGAAGAATATTTCTTTAAGGTTCTAGATAATAGAAGTTCCGATTCCCTCTCATTGACTACAAATCCTGCACGTAGAATGGCTTTACATTTAGGCATGGAAGATGATAGATCCTCTGTTGATCGGTTAAGAAATGAAAAAGTTGATCATCTGAGGTCTCTCTTACTCTTGAGTCCGCAGGATCTTCAGGTGAAGTTGGAATGGTCTCGAAGAATGTTTAATCTAAAGAAGTACAGAATGCTGAGGATCCTATATTTTGAACGGGTTGACTTTCAAGAATCTACCTTAGGTATTTGAGTTTCAAAGGATGTATTCTGGGGGTTTTGCCGTCATCAATAGGTAGCTTGTCATTGTTGGAAACTCTTGATCTACGAGTTTCAAGTAAAGTAATCATAATCATTCCTAATGTCTTGAGGAAACTGGAAAAACTTGTTTATCTATATCTTCCGCTCTTGTTTAAGACGCCAAATAATGATAAACTGTGTTTGAAAAGTTTGAAGGAAATTGAGATACTTCAAAACTTTGACACTGGGATGTGTAATGTTGCTGATCTTTTTAAAATGAAGAGGCTACGACACCTGTCTACGACTGTTGAAGGGATTTTGGGGGATCTTGAGCAGATTGTCCGTTGCATGGGCATGACTTCAGAGAATACAACTGTCTCCATTAAGGTCAAAAACTTTGAATGTTATACAGAAGAAAGGCATTCTGTTTTTAGAAAACTACTCGAGTGTAAGATTCTCCACACCTTGCATCCATGCATCTTGGACAGATACCACTACACGATAAAATCACTACAAGCCTGACTGAGATGGTCTTGATAGGCTCTGAACTTAAGGAAGACCCTATGGCAACTTTGGACAAGTTCCCGGAATTGCAGGTACTAGTATTGCAAGACAACGCATTTGCCGGAGAGAAAATGATATGCGTTAAATCTGGTTTCAAGAAACTCAAACGGTTAGAGCTCTTGACTTTGCGTTTCTTAGAGGCGTGGGAGGTGGAGGAAGGATCCATGCCTGTGCTTTCCATTTTAGCAGTTAAAAACTGCGGGAAATTGCGAATTCTACCGGATGAATTAAGGAATCGTTTTCCTCCAATCACATTTGAGAATGACAATTAGCTATCTATATCCATAGATGGATTCAAGTCGAAAAAATCTGGACCGGGTAGTTTCTTAATCATCAGTTTCTCTCAATCTATCGTTTTTCAGCTTGCATTGCATATTTGCATATTTAAGATAATAACAAATTTGCTGTTTTGTCTGGTCTCCCTTTATCTGTCTCCACTCTCTATCTATAAAACAAAATCTTAAGATTGTCTGCACCAAACACATTGAACTTATATTTCACTTTTTGACTGCTAATACTCATATATACAGAAAACCTACTGAAAGTTATATTGGAATCATATGACCAAAATAGTTTTCTAGTTTTTTGATATACTGGCTTACGTGTCAAATAATAGAAAAAGTTATTTTCTTATAGGAGCTTCAGTGTATATATATATTTTTTGTATTTTTCCAGAACCTGAATGATACAGGTCAAGCATTCTTTTGTATGTTTCTTATTCCATATAGGATTATTAGTAACTCGTTGGATTTATTCGGAAGAGTTTCGGTAATGTCCGTGTCCTTTAGTTTGAATAAATTAATGTCTTTACTGTAAAGACCTTTGCCATTGTTGTGTTATAATTTAAAAGATTTGCAATAAAAATGTTGTACGCTGTCTTTTAATTGGTGACTTTAAGTGTTATAATTTGTTCACAATTATATGAGGTATTGGGCCTCAAAATGGATGGAATTTGGGCAAGGGAAACCACGAGGCCCAAATGAATGAAATTGGAATGTAAAGCAATTTTTGCCCATGTGCAGGCACTAAAATATTAGCCTATGGGCTGATTTTCAAATTTGATTTTTAATAAATTTTCAAGAATAAAAGTCACTATTTCATGTGTTATGAACTGAAATCTATAAATAGGTGATATATTTCAATTATAAATCCATATAATCATCAATTAGAATCCATTATATAGTGTTTTTCTTATCCAATTCATTACTTGAACTCTTTTGTGTTCTTCAACTTCTTGGAAGGAAATCACAAGTGCTACAGTATTTTTTCTTTTCTAAGACATCCAAATGATATTCATTTAGAACGAGACAATCATGACTACTATTAAACTCATGAATCAATACATTCATTCGACTTGTGATAAGTCTTGAAGAGTGATTTATCATATGATATATGAATTGTTGCACACTTATCATAGCACCAATAAAGAATTTTTTCTTTGATGGCGTTGATTTCACTCACGGTACCCATGATGTTATCATCATCAATGTGGTTTATTTTTCTCTATTTTTTTTGTTTTGTTCTCAAAATATGAGATGAATGTATTAGATTTCTGAATTCTCCTATTAATGCTATTTCCAATCCTCGACCTATATAGAGGAGTTTTTTCTAGTGTTAATGAAAATAGATAATCCAATATTATTTAATATTCTTTTCCAAGATTATATTAAACCTATGTTTAGCACGGCCTAATCATATTCCTAATCCAAAATTATATGAAAAAAATGCACTAATTCTCAAAATTTATGACACGATTGCACTCATCATAAATATTATTCCTAATACTTGTTGTCCTTATGTTAAATATGCACTGTTTTACCCATTCCTCTCAACACTACGAATAGACAACAAATTATGTAAATGGTGGTCAATCATTCAAACAATGCAATATGAATGCATAAGCAATCAAAAATCAAGAGAATCACTAAACTAATGATTCGTGAATCAAAATTAACAACTAATAAAGTTCATCATTCATCAAATATAGAAAGAATTTAGCCTAACATTCTTATAATTAAATTGCACAAAAATAATTGGAAAAAATCACCTAGAAAGATGAAAGATGTAGGAAAAATTCACGTTCTTTGTTCAAATCTTGAAATGGGGTTATGAATCTTCAAAATCATTGTATAATTCACTTAGAATTGACATATAGACTTGTTCTTCGCTTTAAAATATGTAGAATATGATGAAATTTAAATTGAATAGAGGAACTCCACGTTTTGACCGAGATTTGATATTTAAAAGATGCCAAAAAGATTGTATTGAATTGTTACCAAAACAAAAACTAAGAAAAACTAGATTCTTTCCATATTTGTACTGAGGGAGCGCCTAGACATAGCCAGGGCATGCCTAGGCTTGTCGCGAGCAGCTTGCAATAACTTTCTTTCCCAATATTCGTTTGAGGTGATTCAAAATATTTTTCCAATTCGAATGTTTGCTATGCTAAAAATGGATCTCAATATGAAGCTAAAATTTTGGAGCATAACTTTTTGGGTTAGAACTTGATGTATGATAATATTTTGACCATACTTCACTCATTTGACTTGTTTTCTCATCCAATTGACCCCTTGCTCATCTCGAATCTTTATTTCTTTCAATTCTTCATCAAATCATTGAGTTTTACCTATCAAATACAATATACAATGAATTAGTCGATATTTCATCAAAAGAATTATAAGATGTTGTTATTGAAAGCCCCAAAAAATTGTATAAAATACCCTTATCAAACAAGAAACTTGAAGATTTTTTTATCCTCGAACAAAACAACCACCTAACTTGAAACAAAGACGCAAACACGTAAAAGCTTCGGATCGATAACATGGCTATTTACCTCAAGATTGAAACCATAATATCAAATCTATAAACACCTTCAAGGTTACATTACCAAAATTAATATCCATTTTTTCAATGCAAAACTGATGTGCATATGAATGTGAAGAATTAAGTAGAATATCACGAATTCACAAGTTGCATCATTCCTGACTCTTAGCGGTCAAATTTGTCCTTTCATCACTCGTAAGATTTACACACCCCTAAACTTATGCTTTTAACTCTCTAGCAATGTGTGATCTAAAGTTGAATCTTTATATTTATCCTCACCTCTCCAGTTTAGATAAATTTCACTAATTGTAAGTCAACACTTCAACGAACATGGATTATCCAATTATTTTGATTAATTTAATCTCCAAAACTCAATTAGGCTAATAATCTAGAGCCCTGCTATAGCAACAGGGCTGGGGACAGGGCTGGTGACAAGGGGCCGAGGTGGCGCGACAGGGGCCCTTAATATGATTTTTTGATCTGATCAAAACATCAGATCAAGGGCCGAGGTGGTACCACCTCGACACCTGTCTCGAATCCTGTTACAATGCCTTGTTACTTTAGCGTTAACCAATAATCTATTATCAAAAGTCAATTTTCTCAAACAAATGTTTCTGGCTTAACCAAGGTATATGGTGAGTCTTCTGTTTCATGCACTTGCTTTTTCTGATTCTTTTTCTATTTTTTATTGCAGCAATCTCTCTATTAAGTTTTCTAAATGAGCCATGTAGGGAACTTTTGGTCAATGATTTCCAAATCAGATAACTTGAGGACAACAGGTTTCAAACATCCTTACATGCTTAATAACTTGAATCATAAAGGTTACAAAGAGAAGTTTCCAAATATATATATTTTTATGCCTTGATTATTGCAACCTCTCATTAAACACTCATCCAAGTAAAGCAACATATGACTTAAAACTTTAACCAAATTTGATCCCATTGATCTTAGACAATCCACAGAAGATTTTTCACATGGGTAATTTCTATTCATATCCATATATTCCTACAACAGTAAAATCATCCTCAAAACTACGCTAAATTAAGTCAAACGATGTATAATGAAGTAGTTTGAATTAGGTATCTAAGGTCCACTATTTCAACATAACAAAATATGATCAACCCATTCAAATCATAATGTCTAACTTAATTCATGAACACAAATAATATCAAATTTCACATAGAAAACTATGAATATGAGCATGCAACTTATTCACATTTCATAAATTAATACATAATTTTAAATAAATTCATCAATGCTGGCCAGGGCATCTAACCTACACAAGCCCACAACTAAAACAAGATTTTATTATTATTATTATTATTTTTTTGAAATTTTGAAAACTTTTCAATTTTTTCAATAATAAAGCGCACACAACAACATACAAAAATAAAAACTCAGTGTTTTCCCAACCCCAAACCTAAAGTAGACATTGTTTTTAATGTCTTCAAGAAAAATAAGCATATAAAGGGAAGGGGAAGAAAGTGAAGAAAATACCTGTGGATTTAAAAGAAGATGGCAAATGCTGTAGTGTGAAGTGCAAGAGTTTGTCCTCTTAAATCACGTTGTCCCCTTTGTCAATGTTGGTTTGAGTGTTTCGCAATATCTTGTTCTTGAAAAATCAAATTTAGATATCAAATGACCTGGAACAAGTATTATTTAGCCCAAAACTCATAACCCAACAATAACTTCAAAGGCCTAAAAATCAATAGAATATGAATGCTGATACCTAAAATAAACCTAAACTAAACTATCATATTATCTAAAAAGCCTAATAAATAAAAGGCAAAGAAAATTGGATTGCCTCAAGCTCTTGTTTATAGTCATTAGATCAACTTTGCCAATTGAATCATGAAATGTAGAAGAAAGTTTTTGATGCCTTGCTTAATTTACTTCTTTTGACTTTGCTCCACACTTCGTGGACTCTCCAGTTTGTAATAGTGTCTCATTCAATGTGATATGACTTGCCTATTTCATCCAATTCGAAATCAACTATGTTGACTTCTTTCTCTTCCTCTAGCTTAATCACAAATTCAATTGTGTAACTATCGATAAAATCGAAACAATGTGTATAAATTTCATATTCCTTGATTGCCACTTCTTCGATTGGTCCCTTTGTAATTAATCTTTCATCCTCTTTATGCTCTTTTTCAATAATTGATATCTCCTCGATTTGAATGGCTGGTTCTCAGTCTAAATCCACGAGCAATGGTAATTCTTTCCTTTCAACCTTTTCAATTGGATTGCATCCCCAACTTTTAAATTCGCTCCAGTATTGGCATCTCCCACGCAAATTTTTCGTTAATTCAACTTGACAAGTTTAGTATAATATTTTGCAAGCACATTTTCATTCAACATTGGCGGACCATCTCCCACAAGCATAATGTCCTCATCCCAATTTGTAGGTACATAATCTAACACAAGCATGCAGTCTACATTAGATCTATCA